GTTTGCATATGTAACGCTCAAGACCTATCGAGTCCAATGTTGATAAAAGTTTTGTTGAAGAATACGACAAAGAATCTTACATAGACTAAAAAAATCTAGTTATTATTAAAAAAAAAACACAGAAAAAGTTTTAAATAAAACTTAGAGGCCTACCGAGTTTTCTTCATTCTCGTTTATTTCGACAACGGTTACGTTTATAGCAGAGCGAAGAGGGGCTTTATTAATCAAAAACTCTTCTGTTATTCGTTCAAGGTTTATTGTAGTTGTGTGGTAAAAAATTGGCTCAGTTAGCGAAGTTTCACTACTGCTTGACGTAGATTGCTCTTCCAACTCCAAATTTTCTTCTTCCATTTTAATTCTTTTCATTTGTGTTTTCTCCGTTGGTGATGAAACCGTGTCTTCAGGCTTTCCTGTAATGATACTTTCCCACGTTTCTCGCTCTGGTTCCATTGAAGATGCTGCAGGTTCCTCTTGTGCATTGTTTCTGGAAGAAATCACACTTTAAGTAGTTTTTACTTTTATCGTTACTTTTATCATATTTGTAACTTAAATTGTTGGTAGCCTCTTTTTCAAATTCATTATTGAATTTTTATATAATTACTGGCTAATTTCTTAAAATAACTGCAATAGTTGTGCTGCTGTTTATATTGTAACTTGTTGTGCTTGCTAGTGCAGTTATAGCTGCAATAAATTTTCATTCCACATGTATCACAACTGAACACACAAACCGCGATGTTTGTATAACAGTAGTCATTGGATCTGAAATTACTGTTGTTTCTTCCTTCACAAGTCCTTGGGTTGTATAACTAAAATATGTAGCAAGTGTTGACACTTCTGTACTCTTTACTACCGTATCTTCTGTCACGAAAGTTTGGTTTATTTCGTACATTTTTACCTTACACACAACATGAACTGTATGATTCTGCCGACAGTCAACACCTAAATTTGTCTCGTCACTTCTACGGTTACCAACCAAGTACAGTTATGGTAAATCAAGTATAAATTTTGTTCGAAAACTTCAGCTTTGTATAGAAGATGGAAATAATCAGATGAGATACTCAGTCCTTTTTAAACTTACTTTCAGAGATCATTCTTTTAGTAGTCAATGATTCTGTAGAGATCCTGAAAAGTGTACAGTTCCAATCCTGTTCTACCACGGCAGACGAGTTCTCGCCAAACTGATCAGGGGCATTTGTAAGACTAGCAGAAAAGAACTGCATAAGTAAATCCTGATTCATAAGTACTACTGTTAGAGATCCATTTGAAGTTGGATAAGTTTTCACAAGGCTCGTATTTGCCAAATGACTCCAGATATCTAGAATTGCTTCATATCTTTGAGGTAAAACAAAGAAAAGGTTGTTTACGTTCAGTAAACAAATATTATAAAACTACTTTAGACCATTTTACACTTTTTTATGAGCTTATATTCTTGAATTTCTATAAATGATAAAGATCGATAAAGTTTTAACTTTTAGATAAAAACTGGAAAAATTGAAATCGTGAAATTTCCAGTTACTGTTTTAGCTACAGCCGATCGAATGCAGATAAATTACTAATTTTACTCGGTGTGGCACGTCTCAAAGTTTGTTTGAAAAACCAGATTAACAAAATTTAATAAATGCTAGATCGTTTAATGGCCTGTTTCTAAATTTTGAAAAGTAACTCGTTCAATTTGATAGAATGTGGAAAAAGCAAGAAAGAAAAAGTTTCTGTGTAGACATAGGGTAATTGTGTGAATATTATTATATCTATTTATTTTACTTAATAATTGATAATACATGATTTATGACTCACTGAGAGCATAACTTAGGAAGCTTTTTATAAGTCGTTAGATGGCGAACGGCTTGTAGCGTCAGAAGCTGCAGTGGAATGGTTTCTTTTGACTTTCAGTGCAAAATAGCGAGCTGCCGCGGCGAGGTTACTATACCTGTGCAATGCAGCTTCTAATTGTACTAAAGCCGGTAGTCGATTCAGATCCTGTCGTGACAATAAAATAATGCATTTTGATGCAAGTTCTTACAGTTTTACATCACTTTACGTCAATTGGCTTATAGTTTCGTTAAGTTTAATTTCTAATATCGGTGTATCCCTAATAGCCAAAAAGTCCAACATATTAATTTGAAAAATAACTATTTCTGTGACTACTTTATTGAATGTATATTTCTAATGCAATTTCCATAACTTTATAGACACAGAGGTTGTTGTCGAATAGACAGAAGCGAGCTAAACTGAAGACAGCGTAAAGCTTGAAAAATACGCACTAAAATGAACTATATCTCTGTCAAACAATTCACCAAATAAACTAAAAGCAGTAGAAACCTTTTTTTAAAAACTATCTCTCGTACAGGAAAACAAAAGAGCTTTAATACACTGCAATTTCTGTTACTCCAAGCCGGACTCCATCAAATGATTTGTGACTCCAGCAAACATCTAAATTGTGCTCTCCACACTGCAAATCATAAATTTTTCTAGAAAAAATCATTTCTTATTTTTTTCCACTCTTTCTCAGACTAAAAAAGTAGCTACTTTTTTTAAACTGATAAGCTTATGGTACCAAGCAAATCCAATATCTTTGAATTGTTTGATTCGACATAAAAACACAGTTTTTTAAAATGGCTCTATCAAAAAAAAATCAACAAAATTTTCTGAGTCTCTGTAGTAAAATTTGCAGTAGAATTGACATCTTTACATTCTCTCTTTTTTCAGTTTTGAAAATCTGTAACTGAATCCTGTCGATCAAAAATATTAAAAATTCTAAAATATCTATACTGAAAAAATGTACGACTTGACGCAAAGTGGTCTCTTGCAATACCTCATTTTGAGACTGACTCTGCACTAAATACGCTATGGTTTACTACTTACTAGGCGTTAATTTAGTCTAATTTTTGACTGCAGAAAAAACTTTCGTTTAAAATTGATGTTAACGTTAACGGACAAGAATATACAGTCAAATTTTTCCTAAGTGTTGTTTGATTTATTACCGATAAGCACGGATTGTTCCATTTCATTTTCTATTCTCACTGGTCTAATACCATTTCTGAACTCGCACGTATCTCGATAACTTTTGTAGTCAACGCTGGCGGTCTGCAAGATACAAACCACAGCTATTAAACAAGAACTGAAAAATTATTTTGATTAAATTGTAGAGAAAATGTGAAGGTAAAATTTAAGCTAAAAAAGCTTCAATTTCTGTCTGACAACATACTTTCATATAATAGTAGCACTCGACACCTTCGGTTTTATATACTAATACCACATAAAAGTCCTTGCCACTTTTGCAGCTGACGTTCTCCTCTGTTGAAAGCTCAATATTGAAAAATTTGCAATTCGAGACGTAAGACAAGGTAGAGCAGATAAGTCAATTCTTATAATTGCTTTGAAAAAAACGTATTAACAACTAATTCAAATAGCATTAATCGAAAGAATAACGTGACACGTACAGTCATACAATTAATACCTTTTTATAGTAAAATACTGTCATAAAGTAACTTCAAAACAGCGTAATGAACGTTGGACAGTCGTAAATTAAGTAGGTCATTGAAACAGCAAACTTTACACACAATATTTATGAATTAAAAGTTGATTTTGGTTACTGAGATTTGCCTCAAAATATTTTTTTTTTTTAAATTTTAAAAAACTTACTGATGTTAAGAACTTCGTACCACTTAAACGGAAAAAAAAGAACGTATTTCTGAAAAATTTTTTTTATATTTTAATTTAGTTTTTCAGAAAGTGTTTTAGAAAGGATAAAACCTTTTTAAACTGAATAATTCCCAGTCACTTCAGTTGCTATAATCCTAAATGCTTTTTATAACGCTTATTATACGTATATGTATATATATATATATATATATATATATATATATAATTTACTTGTTCATATGTTTGTTTATTTAATTACTTATTTGCTTTTTTATTTCATGGTAAGTCTGAATTTCTTTCATTTGGTGTTTCAAACGCTTTAAATTTCTTATTTAGTAGAGTATGAGCCTAAATTTGGATAAATAGAGCAGAAATGGAAACCGGTAAAAGTAAGTTAGTCGTCAAATTATGCTTTTAAAGTTTAGATAAATTGTAAAATTTTTGTTCAAAAACCTAAAGTTTGCAGATTTATAGTTGATTAAATTTGGCAAAAATATTTGTTTAGATGAATTATAAGATTTCTGTTCAAAAACCTGAACTTTACAAATTTATAGTTAATTAAATTTTGTAAATATTCTAGCCAAAATCTAGCTTTTTGAAAATTTTGAGGAATTTTTACTGACAGTTGCACGTCGTACAAAAATATACAAGAACCAGAAACAAGGTCAAGGTAAATGCTTAACGGCAGTGAAATCTAGTGGCAATCTGCGCGCGAATTGCGGGACCAATAAACTAAACGTTAAGAAAGGTTGACGCTTACAAAACAAGCCATGTCGTTTAAAAGAAACGAGTGCGAAACACGTATCGGCATGAAAAAGCAGAATTAAATCTTAAAGATTTTCGGCGCCAATTATATAATCGTCAACTGTGCTTTGTAGACTAACAACTTTTAAAACACTTCAAGTTGTATGACAGCAACAAGATTTCAAAAAAGGCCAACATTGTTGAGAATTGACTATCACATAAGTATTTTTTTATTAACTATTTATAGAACACCTGGTCAGAAACTTTCAGCTTTTCAGCAAGAGAATGTGGTACAAATTCGCTGTCCCAATTGGCTCTGTTCTCCGGATCTAAATGAACAGTTGACAGGAAAAAAGAAGTAATCATTAAATATGAAGCTACTTTTGGCACTATTCTGTAAAATGAAGAAAAACTGATCAGACGTAGAGCGAATAACCGTGGTATAGTGGTATTTGAAGTCTTGGGAACTATTAAACTGCTTATTCTGTACAATCATTTGATCATGGCCATTGCAGGCGTATACTTTAAAAGTATGCTTTTGCTAAAACTAGACGCTCAATGTTATCCAGAGCAATGTTCATGACCATGGCTATGATATTCTGTTGACCATCTGATGGTCTATCTAAATCTCTAGTGAAATTTCTTTGTCTGACAGGATAAGAACTATGAAAAGTTCAGATATCAGACGGGTGATATATAAGTAATACTTTGCAGGGGACAGCTAGAGTAATCGTTATAGACTTATACAGCTTTTTGTTGAAACTTTACCGCTAGGTTCAATTATGTATATATTATATATATGAACCTTTTTCATACTATACTTACCACTTTTTTCAATTGATTTTTCTAACCTTTTTCCTACTTTACTAACAGTAGAGGCCGCGCTTTATGTGTGTAAATACCAAGCGACCGTTTTAATAGTTTGTTTTGATGAAATTGGTACCCTTCGGCAGTCTTGGAAAAAACATCATTTGGTCAAAAATTGCATGTTTTGAGGAACAGGATAAAAATTGATAAAATTTAACTTAATTCATTTCTATAGAATTAATTGCCTTTAGGGTCAATCGAAAAACTTATGTTCTGATTGCACCATTTTTAAACTTTGCTTTACAAATCACACAAGTATAAAGGATGTTCTACTTCAAAATGAATCAAATAATATTGAACTGTTAGCTTTTTATAAAACAATATCTTTATAAAGCCCTTTTTTTAACAGTCAATGAAGTTCACGATGAGTCCACGAAGTACGGGAGAGTATCAAAAAACGAGCAATCTGGAATCGCAATGACTGCACTTAATATGTTTCGTAATTTTCTGTCGGATACACCTTCAGACAGGCAACTTGACACTCTATGGACTTTTGGAACACCCCTCCCCTAAAGCCCTCCAGACTGAACAAGCGAATTTTTTAGATTTCTAGAAAAAGTAATTCTTTATTTTGCGTTTAAATTCGATTTAAACGGGTTGATCAAAAAATGGCGATTTCCAGACTTTTAAAGATGCATAACTTAGCAAAGAACTCACTTCTCCTGCTTGTGCTTCTGTTTCTTAAACTCAATCTCAGACTGTGATAGCTTGCAAAGTTTGAAGAAATTTTGATTAGATGACGAGGTAAACAACGAGATTTACCGTGAGAAGGTGCATACATATGCTGCTTTAGACTAAGAATCATTTTAATTACAGTTCATTTTCTATTCTAACTGATTTATATCAAATATTTATAGATGTGATCAAAGTATAACCATATTTTTCAAACGCCTGAGAAGCCACATTGTATTCCCTGGTTACTGGATGTTCTATAATGGATTTGAAAATGTATTAAAGGCTAATTTACTAGCAGACAGTTTTGGAT